GGGTCGCGCTGGGTGTCTCGCCGCGGAGGGCACTGTCCACCCAGCCCAGCACCGCTCGTGCCGGGCACCCTCTATCACACCGCAGCATCGTAGTCGACGCCAGCAGCACGCAACGAGGCAGTGGATGCCACCACCGCCACGAGTGCGACCGGAAGAGAACACGTCTGCTGTTACGTTCCGAGGGGACACGACGCGTGGCACAGTGGCGTGCCCAAAACCTCCTCGCGGACTCCGCACACGACACCGGGCACTGACCGCGGAGTGTCTGCGTCATGGAGGACACTGCGGTGGAGTCCCTCCCTCCCTCCAGGTGGACGGACGCCTGATTTTCTTCTCGTTCTTACTCAGGCGGATGGCTGCGCGATGACACCACAACGAGGCAGTTGTTTTTACCATGGAGGGGTAATGTCTGCAGGGTTACGCATTGGGAATATGAATGGCGAATGCAGTAAGAAAGGGAGCGTTATGGTTCTTTTGTGCTGTGCGAATTGCGGGAATTTTTCATAAAGCATGTAATTTGTTTTTTTCGTTTTTCTTGTGTGGGGAAACTGCCATTATGCATCGCTGTTGCGGAGTTTACGATTTGGGGTTCCTGCGTGTGGCCGCTGCACCGATTTCTCCAACTTTTGTGTGTTTGTTAAGTTTATGTGCCCACGTCCTTTTGTCAAGTGTGTGCGGTGACGGCGGTGCCACAGGGGTGCGGACCGTAACGAACGGGATGCGTGGGCGAACCCTCCGTGCGCACCACGTTGTTGTTGTTGTTGGCTCTCTCCAACACTGTGCTGGGTGAATGGCATTCACTCGCCGTCGTTGCGGCGGTCCTTGTGCATTTTGTGTGCATTTCACACCGTGTAGGTGACTCTCGTGCTGAGGCTGTCAGTCATTCCTGTGCGTATTTTATTATAGTCTTCCTTTTGACTGCTGGTTAGTATTCATTTTTAACTCAACCCAACTACGAAATCAAAGGTAAACAATGCCTGGAAATCAAGCGTCTGCTGTGCCGTCACACTGTGTGGATGAGTCTCTTGTTTTGGCTGCCAGTCATTCCTTTGATTATCTTCTTTCTTTTTTATTCTTCTCTCGTTTGTTGGCTAGTATTCAGCTTTAACTTAATCCAACCAAGAAAACAAAGGGAAAAAATGCCTCCAAAGCGCAATAGAGTGCAAGGTGGCAATGCCAGGAGTCGAGCGTCTGCCGCGCCGCAGGGAGTTCGTCAGAGGAGAGCGAGGCCGGAGTCTGAGG